GCATTCAAACCACAGGGCAGACTAGCTTTTCTCCTGTATTAACTACTGTGAAGTCCACCACAAAGTCATTTCTAACCAACATACTTCCAGAACTGGTGTAACAGCTGTGAAAATATAATTACTCCCTCCATCTCTATTTCACTGGGTACCAGTCACTGCTTCATTGGTCTCTGTGGATATGTTTCTGTCCTCTACTGGCCAGAGGTCAAGTTTTCCAGAAGCTAGTTGCCTGTATAAATTACAGTGCACATATTTTACATCTCATTGTAACGCTTTCTTTTGCCAACATCCGCTTCTTTGCAAATGTTCCATTTCCAAGCCATTTTTCTGCAAGCCCCAAGAGAAGTCATCAAACAAGCATGCTGAAAATTTATCCACAGGCATCACAACTGCACATTTAGCTGATGAAGACATAGAGTTCATATGAACTTTGGTTTGGAATGACTCTTCTTCCAAACAGCTAGTCCCACATGGGACCATTTTCTCAGGAGAAATAGGACTGGGGGAAATGTCTGAAAGTCCAGTACAAGATGACACAGGTTGCCCATAGCTACTTTGGGACAAGGAGAGAAACTTGATATTGTTCTGTTTAAATAATTTTCAGTGTCAGCATTTGGAGTACCAATACAATTGAAGGCTGCAGGAGAGGTGCTGGGTAGTGAGAGGCCAAAGGAGACATGATACATCTATTTCTGGCTTTGGGTCTGAAGTCACCATGTCAAGATTATGCTGAGATTTCCAGAGAGCTCTTTGGAGACAAGCAAATGAACACCTGCAAAAGCAGAAAAATTAGTAGGATGGTGTTTCTGCATTGTGATGCCCTGGAATAAGTCCTGCTACTCCTTTTTATTCTGTCACAGTTACAGGGAGAGTACCAGCTGCTGGGCATAATAGCCCATCACATAAAACATGGGGAAGGGTAACAATCTATGTGCCAGAAACAACTGACTACAAAACTAGGTTTTGGTGTTTAGAGGAATATGAAATGGGCCAAGGGCAACATTCCTGAGCTGAATGTCAAGAAGGAAACTTCAAAGAGGTAGAGAACTGATGATACAACATGCCTATCAAGATCAAGAAATGCTGTGTAGGACCCACTACATAGTGAGAACCAAAAGCCACATCATGTTTTGAACAGCCCACAGGTAGGCTGGATTATTCCACTACACCTGACTTCCCATATTCTGTTAATGCTTGTTTTTATCCGATGGGAAATAGTAAATCCATATAGTACTTATAGTAACCCACACACTGACCCTGGCTGACAGAGTCAATGCAAGTCCCGACAGTGTCTAAGCTGTTGCAGTTCCATTTGGGCCAGTCTGTGAGAGGACTGTGCTTCCACGTGCAGATCTCAACCCACGATGTTTTCATCCTATTTTCTCCCCCTGTAGTGCTGAGGAGGGAGAGGGGGAGAGTGAGGGAGTGTGATGGTGGAGTGGTGTGCCGGGCATCTGGCAGCCACCCCACCACATAAAGCCATTTTGAAATTGGTGGTTCCCTGATCATTTTTTCTGACCACTCTGTGAACATTCAGAGGTTGGACTGTGGCAAACTACTCAAGTTGGTTACTACCTGTATGAAACTCAGACAACGTGCCCCTGCTTCTTTGCACCCCAGCAGACTGCCATTAACCCATACAATGTATAGACACGTTTGCTTATGGATATACAGATGACAGAAGCAAGAGACAAGCAGCGAGGCTGAGCCCCTTCCATCTTGCTCTCCTTGCTGTCCTTCTATCACCTACAGCACCAAAGGGCTGTGCAAGATAATCCTGTAAAGGCAGAGAGGTCTTCATTGCTCAACTCCAGCTTCCCCTTGGTCCAGGAAACAGCTGTGTTCACCCCTGCTGAGCAAGGACATGAAGTACCACTCTCTGCTCTGATGTTTTGGGCTCTGATCCTGTCTAATTTATGCCATTTTATATAGCACTACCACAGATGGCCCTGCTTCCCTCTAAATGGATGTTTTCATAGCTCATGAGAATACCTACCTGGATGTGGAAAACACCACTGCAAAAACCTCCCTTTCACACAAAAAAACTCCTCAAGCACCCAGTTCTCCTCACCTACTCACAGCCATTAACTGTTTCATCTGGTCCATAAATATAATCTCTGATGAATTGAACTCCACCTACCTTAAGTGTTGGCCACATCCTAAAAAAGTTATGTGTCATACAGCATCTATTATGTATCTACTACAGCTTGGTAACAGTAAAACTGTGCCATGTCTGTTTACTGTTGGCAAAGGTTCCACAAAGTCCCATAATTTCTCCTTGAATGAACACATAAACACTGAATGGGACAGGGTGGAGAATGAAAGTGCTTCCGTGGTTAACACATTTCCCCTAAGCCCATCTGTCACCCTCAGAGCAGTAACAAAGCACTACCGCCTAAGGAATAGTGCGAGGAGACTTGTGAGGGAGTAAACTCATCTTTCTTAGAGGAAAACAGATGATAATCCAGGAATTTTACCAGTTCTGTTTATTTTTAAACAGAATGATTCACATTGCCTTGCAAGCATATCAACAGATTTAGAGAAAATTATTTGAACAAAAGCAACAATTATCCTCTTCCCCCACTTCTGAGGATTTTTTACTCTCCTTATAGAGCACAGCAAAACTATCTTTGGAGTTACTCATGGTATATTGCAAAATACAAAAAAATTCAAAAGCCATTATTATGGTGAAAATTATAATCACTGAAGTAGTTACTCTTTAAAGAGTCCTAATTTCAAATTTGGGTTAAAGTTGATTGGACTAAAGTATTACATGCAGACATAGGCTCCTTTTTAGGTTTTTGGTAGCTTCTCTACAACCCAACAACAAAGGCAGCAGAATTCTAAGATACTGGTTTGAACTGATGCCACAGAAACTGAAATGGATATAAATGATGATCTCTGATTTGGACACCTTCCAGATGAAAGAACTTGGCCCAAACTGAACACAAAGAGTGGCTGCTTAATAGATTGCTTTTAAAACCAAATTCGTCTTTATCTCTTTTGACCAGAAAAACATTCTTATCTAAAAGAAGATTCCTTTGTCTGGGAACAAAATCCCAGACCCAGACGGTTCCAGAGAGTAGTAATGAAAAATATTAGACCTCCCAGCAACATTCTCCAGCACTCTCCATGTGCAGACTTCTTTCTGTATTTCAACTGCCCACTGCACATGGCAGCCCTGTACTGCAGGACGTGACTCTATATGGAGTCTGTCTGGAAGCCCTGAGCAGTAGTAGGCGGTCTGAATCCATCATTACTCTTATGCCATTGGATTTGAGGCAGCAAATTAAGCACTCTGAAGAGAGCTCTTGGGCATGCAATCAGAAGATGAAAACAATATCCTTTGTGCTCAACACTTGAACAGTTCTTGTATCATTTTCTTAGTGTACAGTGAAATGAGAAGCAAACCTTCAAACAAGCCCTTTGAAGTTCTCCAGAGGCTGCTCTTCCCAAGCATTGTCTAGCTATACACCATGGAATGCTCTTTTGCTTTCTGAAAATATCCTCCTCTTATTTCTATAAACCATTTTTCCTCTCTGCTTAAGAAACCACTTTTGTATCATTTATGCTAAGATCTTTGCTAAAATATAGTTATTTATATTGCACCTTGAGAGTGCAGAGTGGGCAGAGTGCTACGGAGAACTTAGCAGGCAGCAAAAATCTCCAGTTTAGGAAAGGGGGTGGTCTTTCCCCTCAGTAGTCTGTTTCTGAGGTAAAAAATGTTTTATGGAGAAAAATGCCTCTGACAGCAAGTTTATATGGTTCTGTTCCTGAATGTTCATTGACAGCTTTCTTCTTTCTTTAACAAAGGCTGTATGCTGCACATCAAACTTTACTGTACTAAGAATTCATTAGAAGTTGCAGATATATAAATGTTCTCTTCTGCATATTTAGATACTTACTGCCACAATAACTCAAATACAGAGTCCTAGATATGATGTCAATTGGAAAAGATAGAGAAACTTTGGTACTTACTTATTTTTGCATATGAAGAATTTTTTTTTTGTTAGGCAGACAGCATTAGCTATTTAGAAACAGCTTATTCCTGTCAGGCCTCACAGAACCTGCCTGGCTTCTTTTTGAGGGTATTCCCTCTCCCTCACATAGGAGGCCTTGTCTGTACTTCAAAAATGCCTCAATTGTACTAGAGTAGTACAAGCACTCAGGGCTTTTTTATATCCATGCAAATACTGTGACCCAGGAAGGCCAAACATTAAGGCTTTTCTGCATTAGCAATAATATATATATGCAGGAAAGAATAGCAGTACACCCTTAGAGCTATAAAATTAGCACAGGTTTTGAAGTGTATACTGACATTACATACTTATCCCACAAAACAGATATTCAGCCATTTATCAGTGTGAGTGGGACTAGAGCATCTCTCCTACAAAGACGGGCTGAGAGAGTAGGGGCTGCTCAGCCTGGAGGAGAGGAGACCTTCCAGTATGTGAAGGTGGAGAGGGAATCTTCATCCTGAACTTTAGTGATAAGAAAGGGTGAATGGCTTCAGATAGAAAAATAGTAGGTTTAGGTGTTAGGAAGAAATCTTTAACAGTGAGGGAGGTGGTACATTGAACAGGTTGTCCGGAGAAGTTGGGGCTGCCCCGTTCCTGCCAGTGCTCCAGGCCAGGATGGATGGAGCTCTGAGCAACCCGCTCCAGTGGGAGGCGCCCCTGCCCGTGGGGTTTGAATTAAATGATCTTTAAGGCCACTTCCAACCCAAACTGTTTAATGATTCTATGATCTGACACAGGGGTGCTGGGAATGTATGAATATGGCTGGGGATTCTGACCAAGCTTTTCAAACTCAAGAGCTCGCATGCTGGCTGACCTGCCCGCAAACCCGCACTGGGTCCAGCAAGCCAGGAAATCCCCCGGTTCCCGAGCGAGATAGTCACGGAGAGCAGCGGCACAGGGGCGGCCCCAAAACGGCGCCAGAGCCCTGCCCCGCCCGCCCGTGACGGCGCCGGGCGCCGGGAAGCGCTTCCGCTGCAGATCCGGGGCACGGCGGGTGAGGCCGGCGGGGCCGGCGGGGCTGCAGCGCGGAGGGCGCCGGGCCCGGGCAGGAGCGCGGGGGCGGGGAACGGGAACGCTGCGTGCCGCCACCGCTTCGCCCCGGGCACCGCTTCGCCCCGGGAGCCGTGGGTCAGCCGAGTGGGCGGGCAGGTACAGGTCCCGGAGCCCAGGGCAGCGGCTCTGCCTGCTGGAGCTGGGCAAAACCTCGGTTGTGTTCCCCGTGGGACGGGTCGGGGCAGGGGCAGCCCAGTGACCGCTGTGAGGGGAGGAAGGGGCGTGGGGGGCATCTCCGGTTCCACCGCCGGCAGAGCTTCGGTGGGTCAGTAGCGGTGTCCCGGGGCTGCTGCCCTGAGCCGGCCTCATCTGTTGGACAGAGCCGCGTACGGGGAAAGGAGTGGGATAGCCACCCTGCAGAAGTTTGCCAGGATAGAGTCAAACAAGTATTTGATCGTTCCATCTCACTTCTTTGTGCCGTAGTGTGACCTGTCAGGGCCGGGAGATGTCAACCCCGCCTCTGGCCGGGGCAGGGATGCCGCCCGGCGCCTTCTCCGGGACTCAGGCTCAGGCTGCCAGGGAGGTGAACACGGCTTCCCTCTGCCGCATCGGCCAGGAGACCGTGCAGGACATTGTTTTTCGAACCATGGAAATCTTCCAGCTGCTGAGGAACATGCAGGTGAGAAACAACTATTGATACACTCGACTTGCCATGTTTTTATCACCGACTGCCTGTATATATAGACTCAGGAGACGCCTTAGGATGTTCAGAAAACTCGATCAAACTGCTCTGAAAAGGAGGTTGAAGAAATGAGTACTACTCTTAATATATTTGCTTCATCCTGTACATTAAGTGAAATTCAGAAATGCTGAATTGTCTTTGCCCTTCCAATAAAAAAACTCTCAATGTGCTTAGTGTTTTCTTTTATGTACAGTGAAGTCTGTTCATATGTCAGTTATGTTTCTCTGTTTATGTTAACATACGGGGAGTAAATTTAGAGGAATTTTCATTGATCTTTCTCTGTGATATTTTTCACCTAAAACTTTTTTTTTTGTTAGGAAAAACAATATAATCCTTATTTTTATCTACTTACTGAGAAAGCATACAAATTTCTGTTGTGTTTTCTCTGTGGAGAGTACAAGATAAATAATCGTTCCCACTCCTGTATTTTCATGACTCTTGTGTCACTGAATTGAGTGACCTGGGGTTGAGACACAAAATCTCAACCCCAGTTACAATGGTGTCATATTTAGGCATTGTGAAGACACTCACTGAAAAGTCAGAGGGATTGACAATGACCAAAGTGTAGAATACACAAGGGTGTATGACAGCAGTGATTGAGCACATAAATATGTAATTTTGTTAGTAAGGAAAATTAAAATTTCAGTGATTGCTGTAAGAAAAGTGTGATTGTCTTAATTTAAAATACACAGAAGCCTGTCTGATATCTTTCTTTATTTCATGTGACAGAAACTTTAATATTTTTCATGTTTTGGTTCTCTAAGTTACCAAATGGTGTTACGTATCATACTGCAACATATCAAGACAGACTGGCAAAGCTGCAGGAACATCTCCGTCAGCTATCAATACTCTTCAGAAAACTGAGATTAGTCTATGACAAATGTAATGAAAACTGTGCTGGGCTCGATCCTGTTCCCATAGAAGTAAGTATCTATATTTGTGTATAAATTGTAAATCAGAATAACCACTATGCGTAGCAGATCATCCATCTTCCTCAATTGCAAGAAACTCATAACAAGTTTTAATGATACTAGAATTATTCAGTGGACTGAATTCTGTTTATTAATTAGAGTTTGTTGAAAGATTGTGGAACTTAGTGTCTAGCTGACACGGTGTTCTATCATAAGTTGGACTTGGTCTCAGTGGTCTTTTCCAGCCTAATTGATTCTGTCATTCTGTGAAAGCAAACTTAATTTAAAATTTTAACTTTTTTTCCTCTGGCTTCTTGGTACCTTCACCAGTTTCTTTCCTCTAGGAAAAACAAGATCAGGGCAAAGTTTTTACAAGAAGTGGGAAAAAGTGGAAAAAAAGCCTGGTTCAAGCTCTCACCTGTCAACCTGGTTCCTGAGTAATAAGTATTATTTACTTTCTCTGGCCAATAGTCTGTGCCTCCATAGTTCCCTCACTCAGCTATTCCTAACCTGCTCGCCAGTATGAACCAAACCTAAATGTGCAGTGGTGATAGAAAAGTTACAACATAAAACTTCCAGGAAGGCCAAAGTTTTTCTTAATAATACTGCTGTTATTCATAAAATCTTAAATGTCATCTTCCTCATAATTGTTTCTCATTTCTAGTAATACTTATAAACCCTGAGTTTTGTTAAAATTTGAGTTGTTCCTGCCCTATATTAACAAGAACTCTGATGTTCTTTAATTAATGACCTCTGGATTCTGAGGCAACTTTATTAATGGACTTTTGATTGTCCATTGAATTTTAATCATACAGGCATTATATTTGAAGTGTGAGTCTCTTAACTGAATAGGAGTAAAGAAATTAAGAAGTCCATTCTGTACAGTCGATTCTAGACTACTGTTTCAGTTAACAGTTGCTGACTTTTGACAAGAGTTTCATAAAAATGTATTTGGAAACCTGACAGCAAGCAGGGGAATAAGTTAATTTTCCCATTTAAGAAAATCAAACCTGGTTTCGCAGTGTGTTGAACTTGTGTGCAATAAGCAAATACTAGTGTCCTCTTTAAAAGCTTTTCATATGTCTTATTTTACCATAACAGTGGAATGATGTGGCATTCAGTTGGTTTTTTTCTATAACTTTTCACATTTTTTTCCCATTATCAGGATGAAAAAGAATCTCCATAGAGAAAATAAGTAGTCAATTCAGGCTTTCTTAATGCAAGGTTTCACTGATAACTTAGTCACAGCAGAATTTTTTATTGATAGTTGGGGTATTTTTTTTTTAATCTTTTTAGTCTTTTCTTCTCTGAACTTAGTAGATGCCGGCCTCCTCATGTTTTTATTGGTTAGAGTGAATGACAGGGGCACACCATTCCTCTTGGATCAGTTTTCTTAAATTCTTCTTCCAGTAGTTGAGTAATAGGCTCAATTGTATTATTTAGTGGCCGATATTCTAACCATGTCTTTACAGAATAGCAACAAAACTTTATTTTTTGTGCACAGTCGAGAAGTCCATACCTACTAGTATTGCTTATTCCATTTTATTGATATAAATATTCATAATTTTTTGTTAATCTGTAATAGGTATTATTAACTTTCTATTAACCAATGTAGCAAGGCTGGAGATAATTGTGAAGGAGATCTACCTACAAAGATCCAATTGTCTGCGTTTTTTGGGGTTTTTTTTGTATTAGGTATAGTTCAGCTTTTCTTGGTAGGTGTGTTTTTTTTTTTTAGTCTATCACCTTTTCTGAAAGATAAGGAAGTTTTAAAGAAATGTTCTACTTTGAGTGCTACTTTATTTTTCCATCAGAGAGAGTTTTTTGAAGAGCAAATAGCAGCCCTACTACTTCTTTATGGTCTGCAAATGTAGTAAGTAGTCAACATTTGCTACTTTTTCATGGCAGAGTTTAGTGTGGTAGCTTTTGTCCATTTTGCTAAGCTTTATAAGAATAGCTACAAAGATTTTTGTATAGAAGGAAACTACATTTTTTAGTGTGTTAAATCAAAATAAGTTTTCCATCAGAGTGCTGGAGGCACTGAGCACTTTGTAATATTGCACCCCAACCTAAGTAAGAAGTTACTATGCACTTGATGAGGAGCAACTTGCTCCCAGGCTTTTAAACTAATGCCTCCTTGCTCACTTTTATAAGTATTAGTCTTCCATTTGTCTGTAGTGTGTTTGTGAACACGGATGTAGTTTTGCATAGTTCAGGACACAAAAATCATGTCGGACTATGGACTTCATGGATGTATTATTTTTAAGAGATTGTTTATAGCTTGGGAGTGTTCTGACACAGAAGCAAGTATTTGTTTTGTATCTAGAATGTTTGTTTTTGATGTTTTTTAGGAATGAGACATATAGTAGTGTGTATATATATATATATTTATATATATAGTCAGGGAAGGTTTAGGTTGGATATTAGGAAAAAATTTTTCACTGAAAGAATAATAAAATACTGGAATTGTCTTCCTAGAGAGGTGGTGGAATCACAATCTCTGGATGTGTTTAAAAAAAGACTGGACTTGGTGCTGTAGTCTAGTTGTGGTGTTAGGGCATAGGTTGGACTTGATGATCTTAGAGGTCTCTTCCAACCTCATTATTCTGTGTAATTCTGTGTGATTCTGTGTGATTTATTTAGAAATTCTGCATCAAGGTATATGTCTCAGATTCAGTCAAAGAGAAAATGGAAAGCTTCTAACCAGGCAGAAGCCTGAGAAACTGTTGAGAAGAATGTAAATAAGGTTCTTTATCTGTCTTGTTCACATTGTTTATAGTTAGGTTTTGCTACTGTGCATCATTCAGTGCACATCAATAGGTGAGATGTTTTCACTTCAGGACCAATGGAGGTGGTCTGCACAAAGCTCTGTATAAAAGAGCGATGTATTTTGAAATAAATCAGAGTTTTACTCTCAGGCCTTCTGACTAGGAGTCTGTTCATTCCCATCCTGCCTCAACAGCATCATCAAGGAATTTTGGTTTTGTCAAAGCTTACAGAAAAGACAGTGCACTATGGTCTTCTCCATCCTAAACCAAACTATGATTCTGTGTGTCTGAGGAGATCATGGTGAGAAATACTTACAGAAAAACTAATTTTAGGTAACTTTGGGCCTGGTCTTAAGAGTAGCCAAACAGAGGCTCATTAGAATAGCAAGTCATAACTAGAGTATTAGCCAAGTAGCTACATAAAGCCGGTCATATTTATGCTCAATATATTACCAAAATGACTTATCATAATGATAACTTTATGTTTGTGGTTTTATTTCGTAGTGTGGAATAATAAATTTCAAAATTCCAATCTGCAGAATTTGAAACTATAAGGATTATCTATGACAAACATCTTAAAATGGAAAGACTGGCTTCTGCCTGCAGTTACAAAATCTACACTTGGTAAGGTGTAAGATTGTGTCTTTTTGAAACACATTGTTTTCCTGGAGAAGCAACTGAGGTCATTGCCAGGCCTTTAGGTTTGAGGTGGCAAAGCAGGCTTGTCTTTGCTTTCTCTTGGGCAGTTAGAACCTGTGGAGAAAATGGTTGTACGGTGTGTATTTCCTGGATTTGATTTTTCTTCTTTTTCTTTCCTTTTTTTCCTTTTTTTTTCTTTTTTTTTTTTTTATGCCTAAAGCTGATGTTTCTTGTCTTCACAGCAACTTATTCCATATGTTGAAGAAGATGGCTCCAAGCATGATGATCGTGGTGCTGCAAGTCAGCTTCGATTTGCTAGTGAAGAGAGAAGGGAAATCATGGAAGTAAATAAGGTAACAAAGTTGAAATTAATTTGCATAAACTGAGAAATGTCATTTTCATGTTACAAAGCCTAAAGTTCTAGATTGCTATACTAAATACGGAATGTGTGATGACTGCCATCAAAACTGGAGATAAATACTTTTTTAATAAATACTTCAGTATTGACCTTTTAGTATAACAACTAGTTTTTAGCTGTACCTCTGACAGTAGAGTTTCCTAACAATTGGGTTTCCTAACAATTCTAGCTTGGGTGGGTCTCTTTTAAAACAGAATATATTCTTATGAGTACAATGTGTTATGTTTATGTGTAACCCACTAGATATTGACTGTACAAACTGAACTAAGGTACCCGTTGAACTAATTTATCTTCAAAACTTACCTTAAGTGTAAAAATAATTGATGTGAACACCAGATGTGTAAATATTACTACAATTATGTGAATTGGTAAAGAATTTTCAGGTCTACCTTCTGAATTTTGACAGTTTAAGGAAGACTGTTCCTTTTGTAAAGAGGAACATTTATTGAATCTTGGCACATTCAGGAAAAAATGTACTATGAATTATAAATGTTAAATGAGTTAAAATGTGAAATTTTCAGTTTGAGTGACATTGTGAAACTGGGTACAATTACTGAAGAGGGATTCAAATCTAAAAAAAATTATGCTGTAGTAAAAGCTAATGTAATACGAAGATTAAAAATACATAGTTTTACCAGACCACAATTTTGAGCATTTTTTCTTCAATCTGTAAAGTACAAATATAGGATTAAATACATATTTCTATAGCTGTAATATCTGCAAATGCTCAGTAAAAAGGAGTTATAATCTACAAAAATAACTGAACAAAAGAAATAAATGGATGAAATGTTTATTTATGGGATGAATAATTGATGGGGTTTTGGCTTTTAAAATATTTCCAAAGTTTTAATTTGTCTTCCCCAATCATACATGTATTAAATTTTTCATAACCCGTTTATTTAGAAAAGTGTGTGTGCATTGTACAGGAGGAAATGAGGGCTATGTGAATTTAAAGAAATGCAGTTGTCAGCTCTCCTGTTGTAATCTTTCTCTTCACTGCTGATGTAGCAGGGTTGAATATATTATATTGTATGTAATGTTGTACTGTGAATTTATGCACATTTATTTGCAATCTTTAGGTATTAATAAGCTTAACTGTCCATATTTGCTGTGGTTTTAATACTTCTGTGACATGGTTTTGCCCTTGTTGTTGTACTTGTATGCTAATGTGTTTTTAAACCTCCTTGGTGTGATCTTGTGAAAATAATTTCATAAATTTTTATGAAGAGTTCTGAACCTCAAAAAGGTTGATGGTGTTACGGGACCATTGGTAGCAAACTGGTAATTAAGAATGCGTTGAAATTTTCATGTAAATATAGGATGAAATCCTGTATTTCTACTTAAATGCCTAGACCTAATTTCCAGATTTTCCACAAAATCTTCACAAGATAGTTGAACTTACTCTAGTATTCTTGTGGACAAATACTTAGTAACTGCAGCAGAAGAAAGTTAAGCTTATTGGTTTTTGAAAGTTCACTGATTTTTTCTTTTGTCTCCCTCCAGTTGTATAAGCACATTTACTACCATTTTCAAAGTTCAAATTTTAATACATTACAGAGTAGGTAATGCTTTTATGACTAAAAATATATAAATTCTTCTTTATTTGGAAAGAAAAAGCACTAGAATCAGATAATTGGTCTAATTTCTAACACTGGCTGCTGGGTTCAAGGAGGAACTTGCTCTGGTTCTTAGCTGGCACACCTGACAGCTCTTCAGTCCTCTCTAGTGTGTAATGTCCATGTCCAACTCAATTTGATTAATTAATTTTAGGAAAATTTCAGTAATATTAATTGTTGACAAGAATACTGTGACAGGGAAACTAACATGGTAGTTAAAGAAGCTTTTTATATTCTTGACCAAATCTTTTCTTCCTTCAGCTCCTGGTCTTGTTCTCACCTAATCCTTTTTGCTGCGATAGGCATTTTTTTTTCAGTCTTGCATGTTATTGGTACTAAAAAATCACTGTTGCAATAACCCAAGACTTTGACACTATTGTGATATTTGAATTAGTTCTTACACCTGCCATGGATCTCTTAATTTTGCCCTTCTTGCCATGATATCCCAGCCAGTCTGATTTCTTTAGTGGCTCTGGATGTATGTCAAAGACACTAACTGCCCCACTGTGTGGAGCACTGCCAAAACTAGTAGTAGCTCTTATAAACTTTGTGGATCATATATTCTCACATCAAAATGTCCTCATTCCATGAACCACTGACTTGAAAAATAGCAGCTTTCCTTTGCTGCTGCAGGTGTCTGGGAAGGGAGTATCCTCAGGAGGAGGAGGGGAGCATCAGGTACTTCGTATGCTCACCGCCTTGTTCAGGGGCAGGAGAACCTGCTGATGCAACAGAGTTCCTAAAAACTGCAGGAGCTTTTCGTGTTGGTTTACTGTGCCACCTTTTAGTTTTACATAGTTATTCTGTTGTATTAGAGCTACCCTTTCGGTCAGAAAGTTTAATGTGCTGACCTTGGCTATGTAAGTACCTGTCTGTTAATTTAAAATATAGATTAGTTTACAAGGCAACGAATTTCTGTCCTAGCAATTCAGTAATAATTAGCAACTGTAGGTTTAAATAAAATCTATTAAGCTTTATAGCACAAGGGAGTTTTGCCCACAGTTAAAAGCTTCTGCCACTATTACAAAAAAAAACATTTCTTGAGCACTGGCTACCTCTATCTCTTGTCTTAAACAATTCTCTCCTCCAGTTCCCAAAAATGTACCTTACTCTTTTTTATCTGTGTATGCTTTCTGGGCTTGCAAATTGTTGAGGTGGTTGAATTTTTTGGAATAGATTACTGTTCCAGAATCAGTTTAGTACTTGAATACGCCTTTTAGTATGTGCCTGTCTTGAACTAGTTTTCATTGAAATTAATCTATTTGCAGCAAGTGGAAAATGTTACCAAGATTTCCTCTCTTCTGTTCATGTTTTTCAAGTGTTCAATGTTTTGTCTATTAAGTTTTTTACCTTTTAAGTATAGACTCATCAGTATTATTTTCAAGATAGGCTCACCTTCAGTCTGTGGTCTTGTAGTACATTTGGCAGGACTTGAAACAGAAATACCAAATCAAAATTGAGAATTATTTAATCTGTTTTGCTGCCCCATCAATGGTTTTCTTTACTGCCCACTTTTAGAAATGGAGCAAGTAGAGCTTCAGTTTCATTCATGCTGTAGGTCTGGTTACAATGAAGCACTTAGGAAAACCATCACATAATTAGTAGTGTAAGTACATTTGGGTGAAAACAAAGCAAAATAGCATTTGGGCATTCCAGTTAGCCCTTCAGAAAACAATCTTATTTTATATTTTTAACTAGTGTTTGTTAAGTGTTTACACTGATCTTGCTAAGAGAGAAAAAGACAATCTACGTGACAGACTTCTGAGTTAACCTTAAGTAACAAGTTTAGCTCTGGACTTTTTTTAATAGCACAAACACTGTGCCTTGCAGCTGATGCCGTTCAGGACTATGCAGAAAACCTAAATTCCTTTTAAACTATTTCACACTGTTTGCATGTATTTTAATTGGTTTTGTATCTGTAGAGTCCTTTTTTGCCCAAAATATGAGTGTGCACAAAGGAATGCTTTGGCAAGCGGGGAAGAATTCGTTACTTGGACACCTTCTGGGCAGATTAATCTGCACTAGAGACAATTTCATTATTTTTTGAGTATCCAAACTGACTCTGCAATGGTAGAATCAGAGGTATTTGGGCTCAGTAGGAGGTCTGGAGGTTATCTGGTTCAGCCCCCAGCCCAAGACAGGGTCAATCAGCAAAGTTAGATCCAGCTGCTTCCAACTCATGTCCATGCTCCAGCATTTCAAATACCCATAAGGATTGACATTCTGTCTTTTCTGGGCCCTTTTTAGTAGTTGACTTTTACTATGAAATTTTTCCTAATGTTACATTGGAATTTTCTGTCATAACTTGTATATTCACTGCCCCTCATCCTTTTGCTGTGTATACTCAAGATCTTGCATCCAGTTTTGTCTTTTCTGAGCTTCACTAGGTGGCTGAAGACAGCACTGTGATCCTGTCCTCTGGTCTTCTCTGCTTGAGATTGAACAAGCAGCTTTAATTATTGTGGTGGCCCTCCACTAGGTATTATCCAGTATGATAATTGAGCCTTGTATTGATCCCCAAATTGGACAATCATTCTCCAAAGCCAAGTAGAGGACAGTATGAGAGGTACTCACCTGACCTGAGAGGTACACTCTAGCTAATACAGGGCAGAGTGCAGTTTGTTTTCCCTGTTGCAAAAAATGATCCACTGATGGCTCATGTTAAACTTGCTAGAAAGTATCTAAAAGGACCTCAGATCCTTTTCTGCAAATTTAATTTCTATTCAGTCAGCCCTATGCCTGTGCTGTCGTATGAGTTTATACTGTGTGCAGATGTAGGATGTTGCTTTAATTGAAGTTCCTGAGATAGGTATTGGCCTGCCTTTCCCACCTGTTGAGGTCCCTCTGAATCTGATATCCCACCACTGAGCATATTTTTCACTTTCCCCAGCTGGGCATTGTCCATCAATTTGATAGCTTTGATATGGTGATTAGATCATTAAGTGTGGATTAGTCATTAATGAGGATATTAAAAATATTCACCTTTGTATCAAACCTGAGAAACTTGAAGAGTGACCAGCTAGCACTTGATCTTAATACTGATGATCCCAGCATTTAGAATCCCATAGTCCAGCCAGTTTTCCATCAACCCAGTAATTTATCTGTCCAAACCACATCTCTCCAATTTGCTCAAAGGCAGTGAGAGGCTGTGTCAAAAGCCTGACTAATGAATGATTTTACTTCATGAAAGTGAAGAAAATCTCCTGCTTTCCCCTTGCCACACAGCCAATCATTTCTCTATAGAAGCCTGTCATATTGGTCAGGCACAAGGCATCTGTAGGAGATCCAGTATGACTGTTCCCAGTCAACTTATCATTAT